CAGTGGGTTTTTGCTTTTGATTTTGATTTTTTGCTTTTTTTTTAAACTGAAATCCCTACAAATTACTTGTGTCTGAAGCCATGTGCAATTATTATTGGAAAAAAATATATCTCTTGTAATGATTGGGATCCAATTCTCACTTGCTATCTTCAGCAGGTATAGAGCCATTGGGTTGGTCCGTAGTATGTGGTAACCTCTAATAGGCAAGTAATTACCTGCTTACAAACAAATGTTTCCTACTGCTAAACATAATTCATAAATGTGACATTTCTTTTGAAACTGAATATGCTGGTGAGGGCTCAGGATTTCCACTAATTACAGACTGAGTTATAGTTCCCTTTTGGGGTCCTTTATTTTGATTGTTCCTATTGACAGAGAACTCACTTTATTATCACCTCACAGGTGGGTGGCAGAGAGGTGTAACAGTAGTTTATTCTACATGAAAGTACAGAGGTAGTCATATATAAATAACCATCACTGTCTAGAACTGAATTACTTGACCATACCTGGCATGAGAGAGAAGAAATACAGCCTTCTGGGGAGTCAGGTGCCCAGATGAATACCAAGGGCTTTATTAATAGAGAGCAAGTGAAAAATGAATTTGGGGGAACAATAAATAGCAGTCTCTTCAAAACTTCCATTTAATACTGTATTGATAATTAAATCACTGGTACATAGGTTCTGTTACAGGAATTCCTTTAATCTTAGTTGAACCCTCAGCCAAACTATTATTATTCAGTTTTCAAACCACTCAACTGTACTTCGCACAGAAAAAAAATAACTGGAATCAACAGCAATATAAAAAAAAAGCAATCAAATCTCTAGGCAACAGGTTAGTTAGAATTTACAATAAGACAGTTCAGACATGAAAAAAGATTGCATAATAGAGATTAAAGGAAAATATTTCATTTAAATTAATTCATTTTATTTATTAAATTCCAGGTTTGAATCTTTCTTTCTAGTGGTTCACTGCACATTCTCAAGATAATATGAAATAATACATTTAAAAAAGGACAACAACTTAGTCTTGTTTAGAAATTCTAAAAGGTAGCTAGTTTACTAGGCCAGAAACATTACAAGGTGCTTCACAAAAGATGTACAATGACTTACCAACTGTAATGTAATCTGTGGTCTCATGATAAGGATTGAAAGCAGAGGAAACAAGTGAGTCACTACAACTATTGACTTCTATTTTTGATAAGATTATAAGGGAATTGCCTGCTTCAGTTTTAGCTACTTCCTATGTGACTATGTACAAAGAATGTAGGTGTGGTAAGTAAAACAGAAGAAGCTATTTTAATATATTTTCATAACACCTTTCATGTACTTTTAAGATGGGTTCACAAAGAGCAACCTTATATTAAAAGTTACACTACATTGCATTTTTTTAAAAGATAGCTTACTTGTGTTTTTGCTAAAAAGGTCTTAATTTGGTATCCTTTAATTTCCTATTTACTTGCATTCTACGTAGTATGATTTAAATGATCTGTATTGTATCTTTCAACATTTAGTTGTTTTTATTTTCTTTTTAGCCAAGAATACTGTGTATATAATCACTAACACTTTCAAGTTTCTGGGCTTTGTATGGAATGTGGAGGGAAATAATGCTTTTCCACTTGCTACATAATTCTCTGATCCCACCCCCCCTTTTTTTTTTTTAAAGATTTATTTGTGCATACAGAACTGGGGTATAAGCCAGAGGCTCAGGGGTGGCAAGAGGCTTCACCAGAGACAGAGTGGGGAGCAGAACAGGCAGGTCTTTGAAGTACACTGCTGAGGGAAGCAGCGGGCAGTCAGGAGAGGTCTGCTGTGCCATGTGGTCACCTCCAGGGCAGGCGGGAATCGAACACATGTAGAAGTGGCTTTAGCTTCTCAGTGCTGCGCTTTAACCTGCTGCGCCACCAGGGAGGGCCCCTGATGCCCATTCTTTTGGTGGGTTCACACTTTCATCCTTGACTTTCTTGGCTTTTGTGTACTTCATTCTTTATACACTTTCACTTTGAACACTTTCTACACATTCACCTTGTATCCTTTCATTCTTTACATCTTTGGCAAGCTTAAGGAATACCTTGGAAAAATGACTAACAGACTGTGTATAAGAACCTGGGATGGGCCCTCCCTGGTGGTGCAGCAGGTTAAAACACTGCACTAAGAAGCTAAAGCCACTTCCACATGAGTTCGATCCCCGCCTGCCCCGGAGGTGACCACATGGCGAGGCAGACCTCTCCAGACCCGCCCGCTGCTCTCCTCAGCAGTGTACTTCATCAATCTGCCTGTTCTGCTCCCCACTCTGTCCCTGGTGAATCCTCTCACCCTGCGCATCTCTGGCCTGTACCCCAGTTCTGTATGAATAAATAAATAAATCTTTAAAAAAAAGAACCTGGGATGTCCATTGAGTATATTCTATAATGAATTTGATTTAATTTTAAACTAGGAATCTCTTGCAGCGCCTAGTAAGTAAATCTAACAATGAGGACTAGTAGAAATGACAAATGCTATACTGCTAAAATTTTATGCTCTGTTGGACACTTTATTTAGTGATAATAACTATCAATAGCTAATATTTATCAAGCATTGACTAGGTATAAACAGTGAGGTACATACCAAATACATCCTCTCAGTTTTCATAAAAACATGTGACATAGGACCTCCCTGGTGGCCAAGTGGTTAAATCTCAGCACCACTACCACAACAGCCTGAGTTCTATCCCAGGCTTGGGGGCTAACCCACAAGGTGCAGCAGACCTCTCCTCTTTTGCTCACTGTCCCTGGCAGCTCTGGACTACATCCAACTATACTACTAAGGTAACTGGATCACAAGGAAATCAAGACTTTGCCCAAGGTCACACTAAGATGTGGCAAGTGGGAGAAACCAAAACAGGCAGTCTTACTCTGGAATTCATGCTCTTGCTCCCCACATTAATTTATTTTCCACTTCTGTACATGTACATTATATTTCTCCTAAAAATAAAGTTGAAGACATCTTGAATTACTTGGTATATATGACCACAGCGACAACATTATTTTGACCCTGTTTTAGAAAACAATTTATTAATCCCTGTGTGGGCATATGCTTCAGATGAGCTATCAAGAGCACATTAATTCAATATATTGAATTATTTGAAGTCCTAGTTTTAGCCTGTCTTCTTGAATAGCAAAAATTATAGACTTAGGAGCTAGTAGCAATGGCCATGTCTTACCATATGAAATAGATAAGTGAGAGAAAACTGCTAGAGAAAAGCAGAGAAGATTTCTGGTGTTTACTATAATGGACAGGCTTACAAAAACTGGTCCCAATTTTTCATTCCCCTTTGTTTATGCCTCTGCATTTATGATTCTGCAGTGTTTCTTATCAAGACACAGAGCATAAGGTCTCATTGCTTAAATCTGGGCTGGGCTTGTGACTGGGTACCAGTTACAAGCTGAGATCACAAGATGGCTTCTATGTTTATGCCTTTTCTCTAAGACCCACCTATACCCTATATCATGCTTGGATGGCTTGGTGGGGGACAGGACCACAGCTATGGTGCCCCAGCACTGGCCATCTTAATTAGCCGGTCCCTAACTGATTCACCAGCAGACCAAGGAGATAAGAACAATCCAAGTTGAGATGATCCAAACCCAATACAAATAAATAAAACTGCTAACCAATGCACAGACTTGTGAAAAATAACAAATGATTGTTAGCACAAGCTACTAAGTAATTGGAGTGGTTTGTTATGCAGCTTTATTGTGACAGTAACCTGAGGTGCTTTCAGTCATGGTTCTAAAAGGCCTGGGTACATTCCATCACCAGGTATTCATGTATGACATTTGTAGTCTAATAATAAATTTTCTAATTTCTTTTGTTTCCTCAATAGAGGAAAATTTTAAGCCATAAAAGCCCTAATTGACCAGGGTCTTAGGGGTTTGAGAATAGAAAGGACAGCATCTTATTCCTATAGAATCTAGTAAGAGGTAACTGGAATGTGACGGGGTGGCTGAAGGATATTAGAGAAGCAAAGGAGTATTGAGTAGGGTCTAGTTAAGAAAATAAAACTCAGTTCTAATGAGGGAAAATTTAATTCAAGAAATTGATCAAATTTCTTAAATTTCTCTTTTAACCTAGTAAAAGAATTTTTTTTAAAAAAATCAAGATTGAATTTTATTGTGAAAAATAAAATAAAGTTGTATTTCTTACAAATGAAGAAATAAAGGGAAAATAAAACACTCTATAAAGAATACTGAATTTCCAATAGGCTTCAGCATTCCCTACAAGATGTCATGAATAAGGGCACCAATGTATTCCATGACATGCCCAAGGGTTGTATGGAGTCTGTTTTCAACTTCAACAACTGAAAAGTTGTACCTAAAGCATGAAAACAGAGTCCCCTTTGTCACCCCATCCATAGTAAAGACCCTCCTCAGAACAGGAATTGACAATGTTAATGAAAGAATAGGAACTTTGATCTTGTACCTTTTCTGAAGCTTAACAAATAAAACCTGGATGGAGAAGATAAAAGCTTGAAAAACTGTAAAAGGAATTAAATGATTTTTAATGTTTAGCAATATTGAATTTGCTTTTAGGGCATTATGTTTGATCTAAAAACCTGAATAAGTGATTTAAGTTAAGTATTAAGTTGAGTTCTCATCTAAGTAGAAGGTATTCAATATGGTGAGCCCCCAAAACTTGTAGTGCAAAGAGGTTCACATACGAGGCTGTCTATATGGATAAGCTAAACATTGTTAGTTTATTAGCACATGTTTATCAGATAATATTCTGTTTGAATATTATAACTTTGGCTTGAGATCTCACTATCCTACAAATGCCACTTATTGATATGGGTAAGTGTGTGTATTTGTTTGTGGACTTGCAGAAATTGAGCAATTGGAATTGGAGTAAATTGGAAATTGAGCTCTAGGAAGCTGAAGGAGTTGTTTTCCTTAGTAGCCCAATGCTTCTTTAATATCTACAAGATTTCCTTCTATATGCTCTGGAGAGGAAAATCTCTTCACACAGGCATGGGGAACTATGACAATGGTGATGATGAGGTTCCATCAGGAGCCCTGATAGTAAAAATGGTCCCAGGGGAACCAGAGCAAAGAAGAAAGTGGTAGGTATTTCCCAAAGATGAGAGCAGGCAGACTGTACAACATTAAGAATAATCTGGTTACTAAATATTAGTAGAAGGCCAGTTTTTAATCACAGGTGTTATAGTACACAATATACCATGTTTACAATATATATAAATACATTTTTTAAATTATTTTTTGAAAAGCATAACATAGTCTATCTCCGGATAAAGAGGATTAAGAGTGCTTACAAACTGTTTTTTATTTATTTGCCTTTGTGTATTTTCTGTATTTTTAGTGGTATTACAAGTACTAAATCTTAAA